GTGATTTCATATTGTTACTCTGAAAACTGAGCTGTTGGCCGGCAGTGGTCCTTGTAATGCTAGTAGGTCCTTGTAAGGTGAATGCTAGTCATGATTTCACTGCTGGAAGTTTGTATCTTACTCTAACATGACAACAATACAATCCTAATGCTGGACCTGTCTGTCCTATTCCTGACCTGTTCTTGTTGCTAGATTAGGAACGTACTTTTCTACCCTAGCATCTGAAGGTTTCCACCTTACCAACTTTGCCAATGCGGTGTTGCTTATTGCTCTTTCTCTGATCTTAGTAACTTCCAAATGTCGTGGCTTCTTGATGTCATGCTGCTGAACGCCAGGGAAGGGTGGCTGATGTAAGCAGCATTTGAAACAATAAGGTGAGGTGCTAAACAATACCCTGCTGTTAATTATGAGAGATGAAGACCGTGGTGGAAGCACAGGTCAAAGACTGTGAGGATATTTATGCAATGTTTGATTCATACACTACCAGTGAATGGTTTCATAAAAAACCATTATTAGTTCATATTATCACAAAAGTACTGTGTCCTTTTACCTTGATCAGTCTGTGATGTGATGCTTGCATGGAAATTCTCTTAAAGAGCTACATGCTGTTAAATGGTAATGAAGTTAATGTAACCTGGAGGTGCTTGTGTCCTCAGAAAAGAACATTTTTATTTAGTGTAGGATTGTAGGCAGTAACGTTGGGTGTCCAAAGCAACCTCAGGCGCTTGGACACCTGTTCCTCACTGATGTTTTTAATGGAATTAGGGCTCCTGTTTCCATTAAGTTGCTTTGAAAGTCACAGTTAAAGGCTCTTGAAGTTAATGGAAGTCCTTTTATGCCTTAAATATATGTTATCAGCTTGAAGTGTTCAAAATCTCGCTTGCTGAACTGTTAAAAATGTTGGATGAATATGTAAACATGCAGAAAGGGTAAGGCCAATAAAGCTAATACTAAATTTTCATGTACTAATACAAAGTAAGCTTCCTAAGTTGCCCACGTACTACCAGGGGATATTATATGATTGAGCTTGTATTTTCAGCCATAATAGAAAATGTCTAGAAACTAGTTTTCTTTATCCAAGGATTACATTCATTTCTAATAACATCTAGTCATTTAAACAAGCTTGTGCTGGCTTATGAATAGTAATAGACTGTACTTTGGTTAGGACGAAGGAACATAAATCACAAAGTGTCAGGCAACTTAGAAACCAGTATGTCCTCATGATTGTTTAATAGAGTACAAAGGGAATTGCCTTCAAGCTAGTGAAATCTCTTATCCAGTCGCCCATCAGTGATGCTTCAAAAAGAAGAGAATTGTTCTCTTATGAGTCTTGGCATAAAAATTTAATTAGTAGCTGAGATTTTTCTGAAGATGATAAAGTTATTTCTTTTTATATAGTCGCTTTCCCTTAACTGTTTAGTTTGTATTTCTATATTGTTCGCACAGACAAGATCTTCCGCCTTCTACATTTTTTTTGTTTTCTTCCTTCCTCCTTCAGTAGTGATTTTGAAATTATTTTACATGGTTTCAGCAATTTATTTTTTTTGTTATGTTTCAGCATATTTGAACACTGTTCTTGGAAGAATTCAGAACGTAAGTCAGAGGAAGAAATGGATACATAATCAGATTTAATATGTAGTGGATACAAAACTGCTGTTATTAAATAGAATAATAATTACAGTAATTATTGCTGTCATTGATGGATTTGTGGAAATGAATCTTTTTTAGAAGAATTCAAAGATAGTGAGTATATACGAATCAGAAAATCAGTCCTCAGTTGTAATCAGGTACTATTTATGCTATTTTTTATACTTTCATCTCTTTAGCAGTTGTGTTATTTTACTCTAAAAGGAATTAAATCTTATGAGTTAGAATGTGTTTGCAGTGTCATAGTATGATTCTTGTGAGAACTATGAATTTGATTTTTGTTTAATTTCTCAGATTTAAACAACTGTAATCTTATGTTGATGGTTGGACTTGATGATCTTAAAGGTCCCTTCAGGGTTGGAAGGGACCTCTGGAGATCATCTAGTCCAACCCTCCTGCCAGAGCAGGGTCACCTACAGCACGTTACACAGGACAGCGTCCAGGCGGGTTTTGAATGTCTCCAGAGTGGGAGACTCCACCACCTCTCTGGGCAGCCTGTTCCAGTGCTCCACTACCCTCAAAGTAAAGAAGTTCCTTCTCATGTTAAGATGGAACTTCCTATGTTCAAGTTTATGCCCATTACCCCTCGTCCTATCACTTACCCCTCGTCCTATCACTAGGTGATAGGTTGGTCCCTTCCAACTTAGCCAATTCTATGATTCTATGGAGACAGAAAGCAAAAAAACCAAGAAGAGCCCCAAACCTTTAACTCTGCTGGCATTTGATCACAATGTCAAATGTCTTAATGTCAAATTAATTAAATCTCTGGTCTAATGTGGCACGTTTTCCAAAAGTGCACTGGTGCACGGGTATACTGTGATGACCTTGAAGCTTAAATGTTTGTTTATTTTTTGGTTTTTTTTGCAGTTAGCAGAAATGCTTCAAGGCCTAGATATGTCAAAGAACATGTCTGTGCTTCAAGGCATTCCTTGGCATATCCATCAGTCTCAATGCTTTGAGAACTGCCTCAAACCAGTCATCAGACCAGCAGATGCCTGAGGGAGTATGTCAGAAAAGATGTGACTGGCTGAAAGATGTAGTCATTGAAACTCATCTGGCTTCTTCAATTTCTTGCATGCTCAGACATGCATGTGCTTATCTATGTATTTATGTTGAGACGACAGCAGTGAAGTACCTCCTGGCCATGGATCCTGTATTACATCTTCATAACAAATGTTAAGTCCTGGCCAGTACAGCTATGAACTTTGCTATTCAGCTGTCCCAGGTGACATGCGTTGGATGTCATACCCAGGCCTGTGGCTTGACTTGGCAACAAAACCCATTTAACCAGCAGTTAGTTGCCTTTAGCTGCTGTCAATATCTTTAAAGACTGAAAGTCAGAATAATATACTGTAGCATTCTCAGTTGAAATTTGGAAACAAAGTAGTTTGCATTGTCTAGAAATCAATCTTTATTTTTCTAGTTGTAGGCAAAAATTGTAAAATGAATTTTTCATATATAAAGTGTTTTATTTCCTGGAAATGGTCGTCTTTAGAAATGTTTCCCTCTTTCATGTGTTGCACAAGCCATTGTTTTTTCAACTTAAAAAAGATTTGAAGTTTTCATTTTGAAAACACTGAAACAAAGTGTTTTGACCCTTCTGAAATTCACCGTGCACCTTCTTTGGAGAGCAGGCTCAGACTCTGGATTTGAAGAAGCTGAGTATAATAGCAAATATTCTTCTTGCAATACTAGACTCCTTAAGTTTCCAGAAGAATCTAGTTGTCCATGTAGGTCAGTAAGGGAAACATAACTATAGGTACAAGTGACAAGACTGTTTGGTCTTCAGATTTTGCTGTTTTTGTTTAGCAAGAAGAGGTTGGTTGGGCTCTTTGGTGTAGAGTTTTGTGCGTTCTGTGTAGTGGGAGTCTGAGTGTGCTCAGATAAAGGCAGACAGTAGTATCATGTGCTGGGGACGTGGGAGACGGTAGCTATTGCAGAGATTGTAGTCTGCAGTGAGAAAACAAAGAACAGCTGGTCAGTCCTCAGAAGGGATAAAAATAAGGATTTCCTAAGACCCGGAAGACTGGATAAGGCTGACTGCTGTTTAGGAAATTTCTGACCTGGCTGTATTTGAGGACTTGCATTCACAGAGGGGAAGTTGCATATGTATGGTTTTATTTACTCTGCTTTTTCTTTTTACTCTGAGCTTTTTCTGTTTACAAAGTCAATTGTTGTAGCTGTTACTTGTATAAAACCTGGTTTTGGAGGGGTTTAAAGCCCTTGGCTTTGGGAAATTTGCAGTAAAAAGATGCTTTGCGCCACTACACTTCTGTCTCCGTGGGCTTACTAGGTAAGACCAACCTGCAACAAACTGGTCCCTGTGTCTTCTCTCAGCAGCCATCCTTTCAGTCGTAGTAAACTAGCCCTGAAATGAATAATGTGAAGCAAAGGCAAAACTTCTCAGGAAGTCTGATATGGCTTCAAAACTAAGAAGAGTTAAAGGAGTGTGGTTTAAATGAAGACAGACAATTTATGTAGTCCTAAAAAACTTTTGAAACTTCTTACTACAGTCAAAGATCATGATTCCTGCTTCTCTTTCAGTGCTGGACAAAAGTTATCCGCACAAACGATTTACTTTCTATATAACAATGTAACCTCAATGTTTTATTTTGATGCTCTTCATTTCAAAATAACATAATGATAAAACTGTGGGGGTTTTTTGTTTGTTTTTTTTTTTTTTTTTAAGAGAGCTAAATGACATGAGTATGAAATTAAAACAGAATGAGACATTTCTGGTAGAGCTAGATGCTTAAGTTTGACAGTCCAATCAAAATACTGGGAAACTGAAAAAAGAAAAAATCTGTTTCTATGAGCCCATCCTGTTTTAGGAGTAAGTCTCTTTTGGAGATAGTCTCTAAAATTATCTGTTCTATCAGTAGAAGGAATTGTCTGGGCTGCTTCTTTCTCCCTGCTTTGTGATCCTGTAAATACAACTGTCATATTTCAAAGTCTGGATCTTGATGTTTGAAAGACACATTTTGTATTTGATATCTGGTATATAATTTCTTCAGTGTAAAACATCTGCTATGTGATTTTTCTAATTCCATAATATTCTTTGCACACTTTTCCCACAAAAAATAAACTGGCAATTTATTCTCCACAGTGCAGTTCATGAAACATTTATAAAGTTGTAGAATATAGACTTTTAAAAATAATTTTCCTAAGCGTATATTTATGCAGGTTGTTTTACTAAAAAGCAGTAAGGGAGGATAGGGATGTATTATAAGGCTAATTCATGCATGCTATACCATAATTAAACTTGGGGCAAGTTTAAAATCTCCAGGACTCTTCTGGGTTGGTTTTTTTTTTTTTTATAATTCCAAATTGTGAAAAAAAATGTATCTTTAATTATTATTTTCAGTTTTACAGAATTTTTGGATCCATTCCAGCGGGTTATCCAGCCAGAAGAGATCTGGCTGTATAAAAATCCTTTGGTGCAATCAGACAACATACCTACGCGTCTTATGTTTGTAAGTACTGAAGGTTTATTGGTCATTTGATGGCTGCAAACTAAGTACTCTTTCATTTGATAAGCAGTAAGAAACATTTCAGAAGTATAGGATGTTCCATTAATTCTAATGACAATTGTTTTCCAAATCAGGGTTGTCCAAAATGGCAAAATGTAGGAAATCATGGGGAGTTTCTAAAAAGCAGCATTACCTGGTGGCGGAATTTATGAATGTTAATTTTACAGTTTAAGATTTAAGCTATTAAGATGTAGAGGGATGCTAAAGAAATGATTAAAGAAGCTTTTTGAATTAGCTGGTTGGGTGACCTGACAAAACCTTGCCATGCTCTTATTAGGTTAAGTGCTTGAATTTTTAAATCCTATTTGTCTTATGCATGTTAGGCACTGAGATATTTGCCTCCAAATACTTTTTTTCCATGTAGATAAAAATCTTTGTTTTAGCTTCTGCCAGCAAGCATGCTACGTATATCATAGAGCTGCTCTGCTGTCACTGTTCTTCTGGCTCTCCCCAGTACAGCTCATGTCGACATGCAGACTGGCTGTCTGATTTTGATTGTCTGGTTATCAAAATTCATGGTTTTCATAACTGTCACTAGCAATGATTAGCAACTGTAATAATCTATATATATAACTATAAGAGTGCAGTAAGATGGACCACTACAGAAATGCTAAGAAATTACGGGTATAGTTCAGGCTACTGAAACAAGTAGGTCAGGCTTTGCAAAAGCATCATCAGTCAAAGTGGAAACTTTGCAGCAATGGGCATGGCAGATGAGGTCAAATCCTAGTACCCTTACATCAAAGCAACTTTTTTTGTGTCTTCAGTGAAACCAGTATTTTACTTTTCCAGATTAAGGCTTGAATTCAGAATAAGTGCAAATCAGCTGTGTAATTTTTCTTCAATGTTTGGTTTTTTTCTTGGGGTTTTTTTTTGTTTTGTTTTTCTTTTTAAAGGTTCAGGTCTTCAGTTACGGAAACTTTAATTAAGTTAGAAACAACTTGAATATGCTTCCTATTTATGAGGTGACAATATATCCCAACCTTCTAAGACAGAGGCTGAAGGCATGGTTTTAAATGCAACAACTTATTATGTTGCATCAAGAAGCTCTATTAAGTACTTTTTCAGCCTGGATGGGAAAAAATATGTGTTTTTCCTGAAATGGAAGACAGCTGTGTAAAAACAAAAAAAAACACAAACCCAAACATTAAATTGTTGTGCTAGGAAAGACTCTGAGTTTAATTCTTCCAGTTTTCCTTAGGCTGAGCATTACCTTGCTACATGGTTTGTCTGGTCTGTATTTATAGCTGAAGAGTTCAAGGACCAATAGTGAATCATTGTACGGGGGTTTGCTGCAGTGGTGAAACTATTTCTGAAACTGTTTGGGGTACTCATTAGTCCTTCCTTTGTACTCTAGGCAGTATCCACTGGGAAGCACAATTCTGGGATGTAAGTGTAGTGCATTTCCCTGTCAACCGCTTCCCAGAGAGCCAGCTTTTGATGTACTTTATGGCAGGTGGAACTTACTGAGTCAGTAACGTTTGTATCATCTGTGTTCTCTTTCAGACCGTTGACAAGTCAGTTACTCAGTGAACAGCTTCTTAAATTAAGCAGCATAGATAATTTCTAAATGATTTTTCTTATTTCTTTAATTAAAAAGAAGACAAATCCAACTCCAGCATTGATCACAAGCTTTCAGTATGTAAAGAATTTCTTGCCACTAGTGTTGTACTCTGATATTGAAACGTATGGCTATGGCTGACTAGAAAGCAATCTCAAAGAGTTTATCAACTGCTGGATTATTTTATATGCTGAGAGCTTTGAATTCAGGAGAAGTGTTGTGAATACTCCAAATCCAGATCCAAATTAGACAAAGCTGACCTCTGCATGGGTAGCAAGCAACCCACAAGGACCGGAACGGCCTGAGCCTCCTTGTGCGTCTCTATCAGTAGATATTCCTTGTCTTGCAAAGTCTAAGGCACTGTCAGCTTCTCTTGAATGCATGGAATTATGTGGGAGTCGCTATAACTTTAGCATATCTCTGGCTTGCTAGGATGAATAATGAATGAGAGATTTTGTCCATGTTTCACAAAAGCCAGGCAACATTGGAATATTTCACTGCTGGAAAAGAAAACATTACTGAGATGCATCTGTGGAGAGTATTGCTCATTAGACTGTTGCCAAATCTGTTATGGATATGAGCCATACAGAATCTTTTCTCAAAATAAAGAAAAAGGAGCCTTTAGCAAGCCAAACTTTCTTTATATGTGCATTTTGCTGCAGAATAAAAACCACCTTCCAGTTAATGCTTTTGTGTAAGGAACAGCAAACATGAATAGTTTTTCATCTCTCTCAAAAATCCATATGCCTGTGAAATATGAGGAAATCTGCAGTTTTACCACATTTCTGAAGGTTGATTGTGAAGTGGCTTGGAACAAGCTGCCACTTGAATTCTATTCTTTATTGATATTTTCTGCTGTTCCTGCTTGTTCAAAAGATTTCTGACTCCATCAAACCATCACTATAAGCCTGTCAGCCTGGCTATATTTCTCCATGTTCTTCAACAGTGTAATGCAGATATCTTTCTTCTTTTCTGATGGAAATCCTTTTTAGAATGAAACTAATAATTCTAGGTTTTGCTTTACCCATTTTTTATTTCACTCTTTGTCTCTTAAAGCAGAAATTAAGCTATTGTGGAGGACAGAGAGGAGTAAACATTTCTGGAGCAGTAACATGGCACTGGCATCCTAACTTGAATCTCACACACTGTAGACAGAAGGGAGTTTTAAGTGGAAATGGTGCATCTTTTTGCACAAAATCTGGTGCCTGCCTTTTTAAATGCAAAAAAAAAAGGGGAGAAGACTCCAGGCTGTGTTTTAGTCTGCCCAACTTACTGAGTTAGATAATATTTTTCAAACGAAGGAACGAAGGTGAGGGGAATCTGGTCCAAGATGCACTACCAAAATAACAAATACAGTGCATTTCCATGTTGTTCCTTACTCAGGTATTCTAAAAGTATAAAATAAGGACTGGCATTAATCTGTATTATACAAAGAAGAGAGTCACACTTTTGTCATAACATGTCTGTCTGGTCTCTGTTATTTTATTTCAGTGGGGCTGTTTAAGAAGTAAGGCACAGTTTAGCCTCAGTCAAGTTAGCATAATCTTACTGAAGTTCTGGCATACCTTGTGCTGTACACAGCTTGATATTTGCCTTGTTTAAGAAAAACAGTCATTTTCACCTTTCCTCAAGAGAATAAATACTTTTCATAGAATCACAGAAAGGTTTAGATTGAAAAGGACCTTGAAGACCATCCAGTTCCACCTCGCTGCCCTGGGCAGGGACACCTCCCATCAGCCCAGGTTGCTCCAAGCCCCGTCCAACCTGGCCTTGAACACCTCCAGGGATGGGGCAGCCACAGCTTCTCGGGGCAACCTGCGCCAGGGGCTCACCACCCTCAGAGTGAAATTTTTTTTCCTAATATCTATTTTAAATCTACCCTCTAAATCTACCTTCAACATTTTTTGAAAGACCTTGATTTGGTTTTGAACAAATGTGATTTTGGAGAGGTTTGTAGATTCCAGGAAGGAATTGGTTAACTTAGACAGGAACCAGCAGGAAGCATAAATGGATTACCTTGCCTACAAGTTGCCTTTTACCTCTGCAACTGAAGGTCTGGGACAGAAAGGATGATGGAAGGACCAGTTGGGAACAAAATCATAGATTCTATAGCAAATTACTAATGAACAACTCCCTGGTATTGTGTTTGGGAGAAACTGAAGTGTCTCTATGCAGAAAGACAATAAATACCTGCTCTGGGAGGACAGACTACAGTGTACAGACACTGCACGAAGAAGGGTGCTTTTGGGATAACTGGTACATTTACAGTGAATTGTCAACCATAGTCTAAATTGCTCTCTGGTAATGGAGATGCTGTTGGTGGAAATCAAGTGTGTGCATTCATGTGCAGATGCCATTTCAGGTTCCTTGTAGGAGGAATCCTGTCCCTCAAGCACTGACAATAAAAGAATTTGGTTCTGCTTAACCAGTGAGTACACTTGTAGATGTTCAGGTGTTGTTTTTCTGGTTTTGAACATCATGCAGTGGGTTCCACATCCAAACACTTGTAGACGAAGGAATCATGAAGACATGATCTCAATGTATTCGAGAATGAGAGTTAGAAAGAAACCAAAAAGTAAAATAAAGAGCATTTTAAAATGTCAGGATGTTGGTGCTAGAGTCTTTTATGTTGAATAATGTCTTATTGCAAGCTTAGCCTGGATGTGCTGCCTTCTGGAACAATGCTTAGGGTGGAAAAAAATGTACAGGATCTGTCTGGATCAGCACATGAATTTTGTGGAATTTGTAGACTGTTGCATTTTCATTTATGAAGCTGACATTCTAAATGCAGCTCTGGGCAATTACAAATCAATTATAACCCACAGTTATATTACAATTTTAATGTATTCGTTGCCCTGTAGTTGCAAAGACAAATCATCCCACTTTGCTTAAGGTCAGGAGTTTGATAAAGATCATTCAGCCTTCCAGTTTAAATGGAGCTAACTGGAACTAATTATTAATCAGTTGGACTGAAAAGGAATTGATGCTCTCACACATGATATTTGTTATCTCTTACAGGCAATTTCGTTCCTTACGCCACTAGCAGTCATTTTTGTGGTGAAAATAATCCGGCGAACAGACAAGACTGAAATTAAAGAGGCTTTCTTAGGTAATGTATGTCATACTTCAAGATGGAAAATGTGTGATAGCTCTCAAAGATTGATTCCAGTTGTCATCTAAGTCTTGAAGAAAACCTGTCTCCATTACAGTAGTTTTCAGTGTGGTTACAATTACAAGACATCTCACAAAAGCCTTTGTTTTCGTGTGTGTTTCTAAATGTACAAATTCTGTGCCTTAATTCCACAATCTAGCTAGCAAGGGCCAGAATTCAGTCAGCAAAGACAAGACCATCTGAGAGACTGTTCAGATGTATATTTTTCTGTCACAGCCCATCTATTACTTACCTCTTATTTATAGTTGCAGCTATTCTTAATTAAGGGTTTGACTGGAAAGTCCCGTAAGACTCAGCTGCTTAGTGTAGGAAATAATTCCTCTCATTGTTTTCTCTGACTTTCTCCTGGAGTTTGCTGTTCCCCATTGCAAAATCCGTGCTCATGGCTCAGCTTTTCTAATCACAAACTGATGTTTTGTTTTAAACTGCCAGTGGAGTTAGTTGTGCACTTAATCCTGGACTGTGAACTGCTATGGCTGTGTTATGGGTGAGGTCTAATTATAGTTGTAGTCAGCAGCTTTGAGCAGAGGAGCAGGTAGAAAATGGGGATGGTAAGTCTTAAACTGTTCCAGCTAATTCTGGCTGTGCCTATCTTTTGATATCTTTTAGTGATATATGCTCAGATACTTTTTATGTAGATACTGCCAGAGACCAAAACTAACTGAAGCACTTTCACTGGCAGCGGATACTTTGAAGCACTAAGAACTACAAATGTTTTTGTTGGCAGTTTGTTTGAAATATGCCTAATTCTGAAATTCTGTTTTACTGGCTAATTTACACTTTAATTTATCGGGCCTTAGGCTGTAAGGTCAAACCAGTACTCAGCCTTGCCTTAGCTAGATAGGATATAAATGGCACTATGGATCTGCCTTTGAAATTTTTTTTTAGACAAGGCTGTGTTTCCATAGCTTGTTCTTTCTCCAGTTGTGCTAACACAAGTGTGAAAAGGTCCTAGTTTTGTTTTGGCTGCAGCCAGTCATTTGTAGTAAGTTCTGAAATGTCTTATAGTGATATTTTACTGACAAGTTCATTCAGTAGAAATACCTCTGTTTCATAAAATGCATACAGTCGCAGTTTTGAGTTTCACTTTCTGTTGTTTAAGAAGGAAAGGAGCTTTGGATTAGTTTCTCCATCAGTGACTCTCACCTTTTTGTTTTAAAGAGACAGTAATTTTTTTTATGTTGTTCTTGCCTTCTGTTATGATTCCATCTATAATGTCCAGGAGAAAACTTGCCAACTTCCCCAGAATTCTCCTCGGTACCCAGACCTCATGGAAAACCCAGCCGTGATGTTCTGTTCTGCAGTATGTGCCACAAGTGTGGAATTTCTTGGGGCTTAGTTAGATTCAAGGGTACTGTACATTAATATTCTTCAGTGTGTTAATGTGTCTGGTGATGTGAAGCTGATGTGAAGATTCATTAACTGTGGTGGAGCTTTACTGATTTGCTGAGATCTGGCACATAATGTTCATAATGAATGATGAGGAAGTCCCCCAAAAGGTGAATTTCTTTAAGCATCACACGTAGAAGAGATCGAAGGTTAAAAGGATGTGAAAATGCTCTGTCCCTCATATAGCCATTAATATAAAGAACGTGATTAAGTGCATCTTGGGTAAGAAGTAGTTAGCTTCCTAATGTAGGTGCCCTTAATCCCTCCCCTGGAAATGCCTACATCTCTCTGCTGCCTAGATTATGACTTTTGGTGGGCAGTATGAATCTTTCCTAAAGGGAAGAAAATGCCTCCCAGTGCAATTGGTTGATCAGCTTACATTCACGTGGTTATTTGATACTTGGATTGCCATCATAAAGAATATGCAACAGTAAAAGCATGGTTCAGTCAGGTATGCAATGAGCAATCAAGACAAAACTCAATGAAAAGAGTAAACTTTACCTCATGGCACAGAAAGCAGATATCGTTACATTTCCCATTTTTTGAAAAGGAGAATGCAGTGCCGTGACATTGCTGGTCATATGCATTTGACACTATGTAAAATTTCAGTTCACCATGCAATCACCATAAATAACTGAGAGAAAACAATTGAGAGGAAAAAGAGAGCGTGGGATTGGGTGGTCACTGGCAACATAGGTGTTGAAAGTGGAACACTTTTTGGAATAATATCAGTGTCTCGAGGATTGACTTGTTCTTTCATTTTTGCTGGCAGCTGTTGCTATAGTCTGTGAAAACCCTTGTTTTTGCTTTGATGGAAGACCTCCCTTTTATTTATTTATTTTTTTTAACATAAAGAAAAACAGATTCTATAACACACACATTTTTATGATCTATAATATCCTCAGGCAAAGATTTTATGGAGACATGATGAGTGCTGCTAAAGTCTAGCATCTGGGGCAGCAGTCCAATGAGAAAATAGCTCGTGTACCTGTCATAATCTAAAGTTATATTACTGTAACTGTTCTGCTGGAAATCAGAGATTTGCCTCATAGTTTTTTTTCTGATGAGAAATAAAATTCAGTTGCTCTTGTGTTGTAACAGGGACCTACAGTGTGGACTGCAACATTAAATCAGTTTTTATATAAAAGGAGTGTATGTACTGGATCTGAGAGCCACTGAAGTCAAGGCAGGGATCTCCACAGGCTTTAGATGAGGTTCTTCAGAAAGTCGAGAGACTCGGCATGCAAGTACAAATAAAAAAGATGATTCAGTCATACCTAGTATCACAATTCCTGTTTGTTACTCCAATTTTATTAGGAAAATTGGTTAATCCTGGGAGCAAATGTAAGGGGAAAATGTCAATATTTTTAGTCGAAACATTCACATCCTCTTGAAAAAAAAAATAAAAAATCATCCAATTCTAGTTTTAGCCAAAAGGCAATTTTTTACCTTGAAAGTGGACTGTTTAATTGCATCATACGTACACATACGTATACATATATATACATAAAGACACACACACACATACGGGCCTGTATAGACCTATCCTAAGTATAGGTCTATACAGGAATTCTTGTTGACCCAGTGTAAGATTTTCACCTATCCTAAGTATAGGTCTATAATTCTTGTTGACCCAGTGTAAGATTTTCATCTAGTAAATTGCAAAACTGATAAATACCATACTTGATTCGCAAATAATTGTTTCTATCTGATGATTTATGCCCGTGGAAATGGCATGATAAGAACACTGGCTTTGTGTAAGGAAATAAGATTTTTCAAGAATAAAATCAGAAGTAAGTAAGTTGTAATTATTATGGTGCTCTGGCGTCTGTCCTTAGTCTGGGTAATAAGAAAAACAGTAGGCTGCAAAGATCATTCAGTTTGCAGTCCAGTAAAGGTTTCAGTCTCTAAATCAAATATTGTAATGCTGCAATTTATAGCTTGGTATTTATGTTATTATTTTCTCTTTGTTCATTTTGTTTTGTAGCTGTTTCCTTGGCTCTAGCTCTGAATGGCGTCTGCACAAATACTATTAAATTAATAGTGGGAAGGTAAGTCTTGTCATGTTATAAATGATAGCTTTAACTGTTAAGAGAAATGAAGACTGATTGGCAAATACAATACATCTTAATGAAAAGGTAGCTGCTGCTTCAGAGCACGCTGAACGGGCCCTTGTGAAACTGTCCTTTCCCTGGTGCAGGTGTTGTACAACTTCATTATGTGACATCCAACTGTGGTGGGAATCTATGTTTTGTTATTTGCTTGACCGGTTGGCGGATCCAGACAAATGAGGAGTTTGAAAGGAAAGGTGTGAGCTGAAATCGGGTCATTAAATTGGCAACACAGAAGAGTCACAGCATGTGGGAGTTTGGATGCCAGTGCCACTAGACTGATTAAAAAGGAATTGAGTCTCTGTATAACCCAGTGCCTGCATTTTGTGTGAAGCATATTACTGTATGTGGTATTTCCAGGTAACATCAAGATCCATGGCAGAACAAACCATGGAGCTAAGCAATAAGTGGACTCCTAGGTAGGCCATTTTTTAGGGAAGCATAAATCTGAATGAAGGGCTCAGAAAAATACCAGCTAACAAAACTCTCAGGAAAATAATTTTTTTAAAGTATTTTATGGCTCTTTATCAAAATTTTGAACAATTTCAGCTGAAAAATATATATTTGACTTGAATTCATACACTATTTAATAGAGTCCAATGCTGCGTTTGTTGTTCAACTTAGCCAGTTGTGAAGCAGTATTTGTGCTTGGTTTCTGATGAACCCTCTCTGCTGCAGTACTGATGCCCTGACAATAATGGCACTTTTATTTTGAGAGTGCTTTTGAAATATAATTAAGAATGTCTGCACCATCTTCTTCAGGCAGACATGAGCCCATTTTGCCTGCACTCCAAGCCAACTAGTTGCTTTGTCAGCTTGTAACTGAATCTGTGGTCATTCGCCTTGCTTGTCTACGTGGTTAATTAGCTCAGGATCAGTATGACACCAGTCAAACCTACGTGCTATCATTCAGCTCAGAGCAGGGTGTAAAGAAACTTGGAGTTTGTTCAATTGAGGTAGAGAGTGAGCATCAAGGCTGGCATTAGAATTTGGTGGTTGTTTTGGTGCCAGTCTTGTAGCCTAAGTTGTAGTCCTGTTCTCAGCTCGGTGTGTTTGCAAAACTTGTGCAACTTTCTGGGGTTGCTACGCTACTTCGCTCTGTCACTGGAAGTCCTGTGCAAGATTGATTGCTGTAAGCAAGAGTAGCCCAGCGTGGTCGTTTTCAGACACAGCTCCCACTTCCATACTGCACTGGAAGCTTCCCTGAGAGTGTCTACCTACAAAAAAAAGTGAACTTGATTTGATTATTCAAGGAAAATGAAGCATTTCTGCTGCTATGTTAGGGCAGGAGGGAGTGAACTCTGTATGTAATAAGCAGTAAATGTAATAATCACTTTGAGGTTTATTTGTTACTACAGCTTTTGTATTTTTAATATCCATGGTGTTTTTTGTAGACCGCGTCCCGATTTCTTTTACCGCTGCTTTCCAGATGGAGTAATGAACTCTGAAATGCACTGCACAGGTGATCCAGATCTGGTGTCTGAAGGCAGAAAAAGCTTTCCGAGTATCCACTCTTCCTGTAAGTTCATTTAAATGCAGTGCCTCTTTTGTAAAAAGCTGTCTTATCTATGTTTTGGAATTGTTCTTTTTTTGTTAGATCATGAACCTGACTTTTGCTGGAGGGTCCTGCACTTCTGTCATAGGTCACCACTGCCAAATAAAGTTGTGAGCTTGTGACCCTTTCTTATCTTGAGAACCACCTGACTTCACTGAGAGCGCCATAGCAGGACTATCAGTAGAGTGAAGCACTCTTCAAGGTTAAAGAAAACAGTGTGGTTCTGAGGGGTATCTGCTCCTCTGTATGCAACCTTTGTCTATATAGTAACTATTCTTTTATATTCCATTAAAATATGAGATGTGACAGGGCATGTTTGAACTGCGTAGTTTTGTCGAGATTTAATTAATACCTTTCATGTACAAGATCTATTAAGCCAACGTTCAAGTCACAGAAACAGTTCAACAGTTTTTATCTTTCATGATTTCATTAAAAAAAAAACAAACAATGCAACTGTCCATTACTAAGGTGCTTTTCTTTATGGAAACTTGTATTCTTGAAGATGGAAAGGGTAGAAAGGAATACCCAGTGATCGTGCTGCATCATTTGCGTGCTGTTCATCCTAATGAACTGGGTACAAAGTCAAGTTTGAGAAGACCTTATAAGGTCTTATATAAGCACTAGAAGCTATTGTAATATCCCAGTAGAAGGATGATTCTTTCATTCCTTGTTTTCTTACTCTTTCGGCAGTATCCACTGCCTGCTGTGGGTAAAGAAGGGATCATTGTCTGTGTGGGCCTTTATTCTGAAGAGTTCTTATAGTTCCACGTTCAGATGTCTACTGCCACTGGACCGTATTGCCTAAATGGTAGCTCTGTTCCCAGCTCAAGCAAGCAGAGGAGAATACGTAAAATGTCCTGACTTCTCTGTCAGCATGAGAGCACATAGGTAGCATGTAACAGGGGAACAGGTGTATAAATAGTATCATATTTGGAGGAACAAGTGGGAAGGAAACAGGTAAATTGGGTGCAGGTTGAAGTTTCTGTGCTTTCTTGCGTGGTCCTAAGACAGTACAGTCACTTGCTGTACCATTTGGCTTTGAGGTGGTCCTCAATCTAGGTCCAATGGTTTGATCAGTTACTCCTAGCTTATGCTGTATCCTGACAGACGTTTAGGTGGCTTTATGGAAACTTGTATGTTTGATTTAATTAGTTGTATTGACTCAGATGTTTACAAAGGTTCTTTTCTCTGTCTTGAGGACATAAAACACTTTCTAGAGTGTTTTATGTCAGGTATCTAATAAAACTTCTTTTCATCTGTAAAATAACTTGATTACTGTAGGCTTTTTTTCTTTTTTTGGCCCATATTTTTAGTTGCCTTGTGCTGCTCTGTTTCTGAGAACTGCCGATTGAGTACCAGTAAGTCATATCTCTGGAATTTGTTTTTCTGATCTTCTTTTAAAGTAATAACTTCATAGTGTCTAATTGTGCAGAATTATATATTGCAAACAAGTTGGGTAATGAGATGAATGAAATTCTGAGCTGATCTTGCTCCCTTTTTCTTGTTTGAGCCCCAGAAGCAGATAAGGGAGTAGTAGATGTGTGTAGATATGTTATAATCTTTACTGTTCTAAATAATAAACCAATTTAGCTGTCTCAAACTCTGTTTATACACTTTGATTACATTGAAGAGACAATAGCAGAATATTACCATACGCTGTTTAGAACAAATGGTATTTACTGCTCTGTGTAGTCTGTCTTCAGATCTGGTTCTCACACTTAATTGCAATCCTCTTGGTTAAGTATTTCGTCAATGTATGACAAAGGCTTAAAATAAGTCCATGTATACACTGATGTACTAGAATTTACAGATTAGCCCCCGGCGAGTGCTATAGTTGGTCACTATCCTTTACTAAAATGCAACAGTTTACTCTGAGGCTGCAAAGTGTGAGTTGTAGAAGACACCCAACATGGTCTTGTTTTTATACAGTCTAGAAACACTGTATGTGTAGCATGCTTTACTTAGCTCTGGCACACATCATAGTTCTTTTACCGAGACTGCTTGTCACACAAAGTGCTTTGTCCCTGTGCCAGTGGGGCAGCCATAGAATGCATACTGGGCTTCTACTTTTAACTGGTATTGGTTTTATAAGCACTGGGTTACATTACTGCAGCTCACACAAAATGCAGTTGGAGCAGAGTGATGGTCCAGTGTATTTAGATCCAAATTATGAGAACAGCTTTCTCCTTCACTGACTAATATAATATTAGCATGTGGCTGAGTTGACTATATTTCCCACTACAAAGCCTTTTATTACAATGTGATAAGAATGAAAAGATATATAAGCAGTTATTTTTATCTGTTGATAAGTGTGTGCTGGAGTGAGGCCATTCTGCAGCTGCTTGAAGTACATAGCTGTTTGAAGCCTGATGTTATAATATCTAAATCTCTGACAAGACTGTGTGTTTTGAAGCCTTAAAATCCATACATGTTTTAGTCTCATAATGGAGAAGGAAACCATTTGAATTTGATAATCTGACAATGCTAACCTCAGCTGCTTCTGTGTAGCAAAATTATTTAGATAACCAGGATTGTCAGTAGTATTTTATCAAGAATAGTTTATGGTTGCGATAAGTTTAGTTTCTTGCTGTTACTATACTCCCCACTAGATTGAAGAGTGAAAAGCAAAAACTATTATGGGAGACACAACATTATACTGCCTTCCTGGACCAGTGGAATAGGACCTACGCTATAATTCTACATTTTCAGTATTTTGTTTTGTATTTTGTTTTGGGTAATGTATGAACTATACCTCCTCTACCTCCTACTCCCTGTGAAAAATTATTCTTGTATCTCAGTTTTAAAAAGCTGTCCTTCCTACCTTCTTAACATGTAGGTAAATGCAAATTTTCCTTCCATAAACTCAGTCCAAGATTTTTTTTCTTGGCTTATTTCTCCCTTCCTTCAGCATACGATTGCTACTAGGTAAAATGAAGGAGTTCCATTCTTCAGATTTGTCACCTGTCCTCTATTTGTTGTGGAATTTATGAGGTAGCACCAGAAAAAGTTTTTTTGTTTCTGTTACTGTTTGTGGGGGTTCTTCTGTTTTCATGGCTGCGTAAATGTGAGTGGGGAGGATGAGAGTTGACATAAACTATAGTACCTCTCATGGAATGATACTTACAAGTAGCCCACTACAGTTTGGTAGTTTCTGCTTCAATTGAACACATGAATAAAATAAATCAGAAGTAAAACCTGCCAGGCAGCTCGTAAAGAGAGGTTAGAAGCTTCAGTCAAGAGCCGTTTTCAGTTTCAAAACAATATTTCTTACATCATTCTTTGGACAGGCTGTCAATCAAAAGCTTTGTTATACCAGGATCTAAAACCTCATCCGTGCAAAATGAGGCCTTTACCAAGAAAATCTGTGGAGCTGTGACTGTTGTGCTGCAAGAATGTAGTGCAGGGATGTATAACAAAAGTGACAGTACTGACACCCCCAGGTGCCCTGACCTGACCTTGCGTACTCAATAAAAATGTTATGAACTGCCCGTCTTCCACTTTGAGAATCAACGTGTGCATGGAAGGAGAGTGCGTTCTCCTTATTAGAGCACAGATGATTTTCTTGGCTTCAGTTACCATGTCTTTCATCTCCCTGTGCCAAGGAGTGCATGTAATACAAATAAGAAAAATTTATGGAGCACGAACTGTTTTGTAAAGCCAAAGAGTGATTTGCAGATAGGTGCAAACTATAGTTGCCTGAAACAACTGAGGCATTTTGTATGAAATCAGAAAAGGAGGTTGACCCACGTGAAGACAGTGGTGGTGTTACTACCTTCTCTGAACAAGGAGCAGAACTCTACCTGCAGAGGCTGCTGAAAACGTACTTCAAGTTGGTATACTTCATTCAAGGCGGCTGTCTCCTAGCTCTGTCTTTTGCTGTGCTTTTCTGGAAAGACTGTTGAAGTTAGGTAACTGCTCTTGATAAATTTTTATAACAGCCGCTTCAGTTTACAATCTACACAAGGACAAACCAACACTCAGTGACTCCATTGAAATTCACCCAGTAGTGCATGTTCTACTAGATCAAAGGAGTCCCTGGACCTTCTGGATTGTTTGGAGCTTATTTTGCCTTTTTTCCAGTTGAACTGCCAGTATATCTTGTTTGAGGAAACCAACATTTGGGAGTAGGGAGCCAAGACTCCTGCCTGGGTCCAGTAGCTCAGAGGTGTGCCTGAGTCCCAGGTTTATATAGCTATTCTGACCTAAATGCTTCCAAAATGTAGGTCCTTTTCCCATATTTAGTATTTACATGGCTCTATAATCCGTTGGTTAAGCTACTGCCAGTGAAAATACCATGCAGCTTCTCTATGTCCGTACTTCATTGAAAAAATTGTGTTTATGAAGATCACAAATGCAACTTCTCTTCCTCCTGCCTGTGTCCTTCCTGTGTGTCACCTGTAGGGTTATCTTGCAGAGAGCCTTTAGACAGCTTGCCTTGGAGATACTTCATGGCATCCTAACCTCGTGAGGTATGTGGAGTAAGCACGCATACTCTTCAGGGTTTGTTCTGGCTGTACTTTGCCAGCTTGTTATCCAAATAATAAGTCAGTCTATCTCAAACATGGCCCTGAGAATAGTGGGAGTTACTGAACATCTGAAAGCCAGTTACACCATCTGAAAGTGCTCACCATAGTAAGGGTTGAGGAAGTTGGCCATCCCTGTGGTGAGTTTCTGAAGACTCTTTTCCTTGTGTTTGGTGAGGTATGATGGGAAGTCCCCTTTGCTGTAATTTTTTTTTTTTTTTGCATGGTGTTTCCCCAGTTCAGCCTCCTGATGTGCAGCAGAAGTGAGAACATACTGTTTCCTCAGGTCACTCCCTGTAGTGCTGGAAAGTACATAATTCTACTGTTGATGGACTGACACAAGACCCTTCACCATTTTTCTTTCCTTGCAGCAAGATTCAAACAGCAGCAGCTAGCAACAGATAGAAAATGAAGCATGAACAACAAACTGGATGGGCATAC